TATATATATATATATATATATATATTTCTCATACTAATTTTCATTCACACATTCAAACAATAAAATATTTTGTACGTAAATTCAAAAAAATTTCACCATTTTTAAACACACATTCTTAAAAAAAAATCACTATTTAAAATAAAAAATTTTTTCACACAATTATGGTCATCAAACAGGGGCTTATAATATTCATATCATGAAATGAAAAAAAAATTTCTTATTAATTACATAAAATCACATTGTCCGAGAAAATTAAATAAAGCCCTTGTTTGAACTCCATTTTTGTGAGAAAATGTATTTTAGAATAGTGATTTTGAAGAATGTGTAGTTAGAAAGAAGAAAATATTTTCGATTTACATGTAAAATTATTTTAAAGAAAAATGCATGGTTGAAAATAAGTTTTGAATAAAATGAATTTTTTTTTTTAATTATAAAATGGAGGTCCAATGGAGGCTAAATTAAAAGAAAAAGTAGAGAATAGAATCATCCTACGATATTGTTGGATCTCATGTACAGTTTGATGTACAGTTGAGACTATATAATGCATAATTTAACTCTAAACTAGACGAATAATGATATTCATAACGAGAATTATAAGTAGTCATCAAATATGACATATATCTAGTTTCTTAATTTTTTAAATCAACAATGTTCACTATGAATGATTAAGAAATTAAACATGTGCCATATCAGTATGACTATCGATAGCTTTTACTATGAATATCGTTACATATTAATTACAAACTTTGTATTTAATGTGAATGTTTCGGATTGCCTTGGTTACGTAGGAACTCGAATATGAGAGAGAAAATTAGGAGGATTGTAATAATGTGGATTAGAGTGTATTGTTATAATAAGACATTTGATATGATATCGTAAGAAAAATGGAAAAGTATTGAAATAAATAATTAAGATAATGTTTTTGTCTAATCTTAAAAGTAATTATTTCTATAAATATGTATATATAGCTTATTTTTCCTTACATTCAAGTAAATTTAAAAAAATAATAATAATTCTATGCCTAGGACAAAAAGTAACTTACTATTTTTAATTTTAACTTCCATTAACAATTTTTATTTTTTTTAAAATTTACTTACGAGTAAATTTACTTTTGTCAATAAATATGTTTAGAAGACTTATTAATCTCTTACTTTAGTGCAAAAGTGTGTGGTGACCACGTAGGACGTACAAAAGGGATCTTATCAACTTGTTCCGAGCTCAAATAATAAGTTAATGAACTTGGTCTTACTTCAACGTCTCGAAATCAAAAAAGATTAAATCGTAAAACAATACTTACATGTTCTTGTTGATCAATTCTAGAAATTGTCTATATCTATTCTAATTTTTTGTAAATTAATGAAATGGATTTTAATATAACTTCCTTCATCTAGGGGTGTTAAGTCAAGTTGACTCAACTTGCGTCCAAGGAGAGCCACAAGCATGAGATGAACATCAATTTGTTCATGTGAGTCGTTTGTCGCCTAACGCAAGCAGCTCAGAAGTCTGACGAGCTAGCTAGCTAGCTTGAGAGCTTGTTGGCTTGTGTGTAATCATGCTAGCGACCTGCTCATTAAATTGAAAAAAATGGACAATTTCAATAAAAAAATAAATAAAAATTATGATGAACTATGAGTCAACTCGACTTACCCCACCAAAGGATGAGCTCGTGGAACTATTAACGTGAAATCTTATGTGACATCATTAAGTGTCCACGCGTGACCAAATGTTTTTATCTATTAGGTAAGTTAGTATAATCATTATTAAAAATGAGTTGTTTACCGTACAAGTTAAGTAAAAAAAATCTGAACAAAATTAAAGCTACATTAAAAGTTATCCAATCTGAGTAGTTCAATTCCCAATTCCTAGCTCCCAAAATTTTGCTGACTTGGCTTAATACATAACATCGTTTGGTGACATGTGAGCACTTGCGACGCATACTTAAAATATAACAACATTTGTAACTCAATGACCATTAACGTAAGCTGAGTGACTATTGTCTTACGAAAATAACTTTAATAGTCATTAGCATTACTCTTATTTAGAGCCTGTTTGACAATCATTATTGGAGAAAAATAATTTTAAATAGCAATTTTCAGGAGAATGTATGATTAAAAGAAAAAAAAAATTATATACGTTTAAAATATTTTATTATTTAAATATATGGCAATAATTTTTTAATAAATCATAAAATAAATTAGTATGTGTCAAACAGGCACTTAAATATTCATGAGTATATATTTACATACGTCCAAGATATATTATTGGTATAATCCAATAGAAATACAGTTATGGAAATGAATGTGTCATTCTCAAAAAAAAAAAAGCATCGTTGGTTACAGCTGTATCCAATCACCATTGGGTCCCACCATTTTATTAAATAATAATAAATACATCAATATTAATTATTCCTTAACCAACTCCCGAACTCACTTTCGGGCTGCGCGGGGGAGTTGAGGTATGTTTTTTCAATGAATAATATTATTTACAGTTGCTCATTACAACAGTCGTTCTACGTGGCATACACATAGCAAATGATTATTTGATGTATTAATGAATAAAAAAACTACTGCATTAATGTATCAAATATTCACCTGTCATGTATATGCCACATAGGACGACTGTTGTAGTGAGCGACTACGAATAACATTACTCCTTTTCAATTTGTTGTTCATCAATTAATTATTAACAAATTATTTTTCATTAAAATGTAACCTATTTTTATGCAGAAAGAATATGATGTGCCAATAATTAATTGAACAGACAATAAATTAAATAATAAAAATTGAACTCCAAATCTCAACTTGTGTTTGGCTATGGTTAAACTTAAAGGAATGACATGCTCGATAGGTGAGGAAACGAAAAAATTTCACGTAAAAATATATTGCTTGGTTGTTTTGCTTGAAAAAGGTAGTCGAAATTTTTTCAAGACAATGATTTGAATAATGTTATTTAGCCCTTGTTTAGTAGCAATTTTTCATCCCAAAAAATTAATTTTTTTTATTGTTATTTTATCATATCAGTTATCATTTTTTATTTCTTCACTTATAGGTGGGTCCACTTTTTTCTCTCTAACGATAAAAAAATCAATTATCATAATCCCTACTCAACTGGCTCTTAATCAAATTAGTGTCAAATACCATGTGTCAAGTAAGTTGTATTAATTGATTAAACATTTTGAAGTAAGAAATGTGGATCATATTTCAAATGTCCAACCATCAATTGACACGTAGACTGTGTTTAATGTTAGTAAAAAATAAAAAAATTTGGAGATAAATAAATGTGTTCATTAATAATGAGTACACTTTTAGTTGTGTTAATTTAAAATCTTCTGTGATCAAGTTTCATCTATAGCTATTGCAAAATTGTACACTTTAGAAAATACAAAAATAATTCAGTATGCATGCAATTGAGCGTGTTACGATTAAATTTAAATCGATAAATATGTTCCATTTCTCATAAATTGCAAAAGCACTCCTAGAAGAGCATTATAGGCATCTTGAACGAATACTTAGGTCTTATGACAAAAATTGTTCAATAATCACAGCTTAACATCTATCGATATAATTTAAGTAATAATTAATAATTAATTTTAACCACATATTCCAAGAAAATCACAATTTTTCAACCACACATTTCATCAATTTTTATTAAAATGTACTGAAATTCTAACTTTTTTTCCCACCAAACAGGGGGCTTATTTTGATTTTTTTGCGGTTAAGCTACTCTAGTTTAAATACTTATATATTTGTTTTGAGTGATTTTGTTAATGACAAAATAAAATAAAATAAATAGCATTAAAGTTAATTTTTAATCCATTATGGCCAAACACAAACTAAACTCTCTTAAGCAAGAAAAACAAAGAAGAAGACAGCCCTCTCCTTTATAGTCTTTTAGATGGTACTACTCCATATGGTAAATTTTATTGGAGTAACCCAACTTCGAGTACATTTCAAATTATCTTTAAAAAGTTTCAAATAAATCACCAAACTTCATGATTATTTAAATTCAAGTCATATGTTGAATTGACGTAAAGCGACTGAAAGGAAATGCCTAAGTAGGCTTTAAAAGCTAAGCTATGAGAGGAACATCCAAGGTTGCTTTGCAACATGTCCTCACTTGAACGATTTTATGTAACAAGGTTGAGGTCTTAAGTTAGTGAAATTGAGTTCGTGAATTATTTCAAACAATTCACACGTGCTAATAAATTAAAGATCCACGTGACTTTATCCTATGAGGTATTCAGTGTCTTCTTAATGTCCAGACGGCAAATCTGTCATTTGTATTAAACACATTTAACAAAAAATTGAATTTAAAATAAAATTCAAAATTGGTGACTTTATCGGAACATATCCAATATATACACATACAAATGTGGTTTAATATGCAATTTCCTTAAATTAATACCAATGTTCCTTTACTTTCTCCATCTATTTCGTTCGAAATAATGTACACACACTCTCTCTCTCTCTCTCTCTCTCTCTCTCAACACACATTTTGCTAAATACAAATACATTCATATACATCTGTGTGCATATGCACTTCCACCCAGAAATACACATGCATATTATTTTTGGTAATCTCAAGAATAGTGTATGTAAAATTCTTGGAAGATGTGTTTGATTTTTCGGTCCAGTCATTAATACTTTATTTATCAAAACCAATCTTTGATTATTCACATTATCTTTCTTGGATCTGCAGAAAAAGGAGAAAAGAGAGAGAACCAATATAGAAACTTGCCATGTTTTGCTCAAAGAAAATTCAAGTCATGTTTTTGTTTTTGGGTAAAATTGAATGCGAAAGCCATGGGATTTTTCACCACTTCTACCGAGGAAAATTTGAGCTCTTGTAAAAGTGGCCTTTTAAAGGAGAAGCTTTCATAATAAAGGTGGGTTCTTGAATTAATTTCCCCCTTTTGATTTGTTGCTTAATTTGCACAATTCTGTTAATGTATCTCAACATTTGCATGTATGTAATTTTCTTGTTTTGATTGACTTTTACTTTGTTTTTAATGTTTAAATTCATTATTTGTTAATGTTTTAAGTTCAATTTTGTGGGTTGCAAGTAATTGACTGCTCTCATTTTTTATTTTTCTGAAAATCAATTTGGGCAACTTTTATGTATAGAAACCTCAGGCAGAAAGAATTGAATTGTATTCTACTGAAAATTTGAGCATATAGTGTTGACACATAAAAATTCGGTCCAAATCGAACAGCCCAAGGAATATAGCCCAATTGGAGGATCCCCAAATCAGATAGCCCAAAGAACGAAGTCCAATCGAACGAATCAAGGTGAAGGCCCAAATAAGAGGCCCAAGAGTGCGGTAACGCCATCGCCCAAGTTTGCAAGTCGCCCAGAATCTGAACGAATGGAGTGTCATACGGTCGCCCAGAGCTGTTATTCTATTCTCGCCCAAACCTTTAAGTCGCCCAAGGTATCAATAAACATAACGCATTGTGGTTATCAAGAAATGCAGTTATCAAGGCAGTTGTTAAAGTAACCCTATCACGTTCCACAACTCAAGGAATTCAATCGAAAGCGGTTGAACGATGAAAGATAATGGCAGCGGTTAAAAAGCAGTTTCATGACAAAATGGCCACTATAAAGAAAGTGGGTAGTTATAGGACGATCAAGCAGTTTTCAGAGTAGTTAATCACAAAGAGATCGCCTGTGAGGTATAAAAGGGAGAAAGGACGTAGAAGCAAGGACCGAATCCAAAACTTTCGAACAGAGAATATGTAACTTTCATTTCCTTAGTTTTTAGACTTAAACACTTTTCTTTCTGTAACTCGTGTGCTTGCGCTCCTTGGAGGCACGTTGTTTTTCGTTTCCAATTGTAAAGTTCATCGCCAATAAAAGAATACCCCTTTTTGGGACTTTGTCTCAAGAGGTTTCGTCCCTTACACAATCGTCTGATCCCTTTTAATTGTTAGCGAATTAACCCGCGCGAAACAATTTGGCACGCCTAGTGGGACAGTGGTGTTAGGTGTTGAAAGTACAAAAGGTGAAACAATATGCCTCAGAGATCCGACAAGGAAGGAGCAAGTCAGGGAGGAATCCAGTCTGTAATCGAGCGATATGAGGAGCAGCATGCCTCTCCACGAACAGATGGACAAAATCAGAGCAGTAACAGTCGTTACGGACTAATGACGGAGTTGAGTCCTCGAACCATGCGTGCATTGCTTGGAGAACTCACGCAAGACGTCGTTGAACAGGTAAATCTTCGAAGTATTCATAATATGGAAATATTTACACAAAATGGAAATGCACACTATGACAATATGGCCAAACAGCTAAAGACGTTAAACGAAACAATGAATAAGTTAGTGAGCCAAATATGTCAACCGGCTATACCTCTTACAAACCACTTTCAAACCAAGACAATTGTGGGACATAATCCTTCTGTCCTAAATCCGAATCAAGGGGTAGAACCGCTTTCTGGGCCCTCCACTTCAAACCAAGGGGGTACTACAGTGCCAAATCAAAACAATGGTAGTGGCATGCCTAATTTGGGGGCAGTCCAAACGTGAGAGATAATGTCCTAAACAATGGACAGAATATTCCACGTGGTAATGAGGGAACAGATGTACAGGCTAATGGTAATGGCCCTAATTATGGTAATTTTGTTGCCAATCAAGGACCAAACATCAGACCTCATGCAAATCAACCGGTTAATCAGCCTGTAGGAATTCCATATGATCCCAACGTCATGTTGAGGAACCAGATTATGGAAATCGTGCAGGATCAGATGGCCTTTGGGGTGCGTCCTGTCATTAGGCCGATATACATAAAACCATATCCTGATTGGGTAGACCAAGCATATCCATGGCCTAGAGGGTACAAAGTGCCAGAATTCTCACTATTTACCGGTTTAGGAGAGGTGTCTACTCTAAACAGCAAGAAGCAAGTGTTTTGTACCTCTGCCCGAAAAAGAATTTGTCAAGATCGCACAAGGCTGCTTGAGCTTTGATTTAAAAAAGAAGTTCCAGGACAAGGAATTTCCCGACCTTTTCGAGTTGAGTGCGAATGTGATTAGGTATGAGCGACTGATAAGAGAAGAAGAACAAATGAAAAATTCTAGTAAAGGGACTTATTACAGAGATCCAAATTTTGACGTTCATACCATCGATGACGAATCATACGATCAGGCTGAAATGTGTTTGGCCGAATTGGTAAAAGGGGATACATATACTTGTCTCATAATGGCCAAGCCTAGACCATCGGACAAAGATGAGCCCATAAAGGATGGAAACATAAAGGCTAGAACGTTCTCGTTCGATGTGACCAAAGCTGACCTTATATTCGATAAATTATATAGGGATAAGCAAATAAAGCTGAGCGATAAGCACAAATTGCCAAATCCTGAACAAATTAAGGGTAAAAAATATTGTAAATGGCATAATGCATGGTCACATCTGACTAACAATTGATTGGTTTTTCGTCACGTATTGCAGGATGCTATTGAATCAGGACGAATTACGTTCGATGATAAGAAAAAGATGGCAGTGGACGAGAATCCTTTCCCACAGCCACTTGGGGTAAATATGGTAACGTCTGGGTTCAAGAACAAGTTGCCAAAATTCAAGTTGGTCATAGATGATGGAGAAGAGGATACTAAAACACATCCCAGTGTCTTCGAACGAATCAAAGGGAAAGAATCAAAAAAGGACGAAAATGTCCTGTATGCAAGGTGTAAAAGGGAAATAAATGGAGACACGGAGAAACCAGGGACATGGCAGCATCTCATCGCTCTGCCTTCTTCCCAAACATTCAGCCTGGTAGAGGGCGAGGTACATTATTCTATAGAGGACCGCCTTTTGAAAGGCAGTTCAGATCAGCAGATACTGGAAGAACATTTAGGCCGCAACCTCGCCGGCCAAATGTATGGCACTCATTCCAGTACAGCGCAGGAAGTGCAATACTCTTCGATGAGATGACTAGGACCCAACAAAGGCGTTTCCAGCGAAACTACGGACGGATGATGAGGCAGCAACAAGGAATGTCACACCCTAAAGCACCTCTACTACTCAAGGTAGCCAATCAAAACGTCCTCAAAGGTAATAAAGAGACTAGTACAGATGAATCAATGAAAGAACTGCCAGAAACCTCTTCTGGGAGATCAAGGTTTGAGAGGGACAAAAGGGATGAAGAAGATCCAGATCAGCCCCTTGCTATCCAATTCGGTACGTTGCCTCCTGTCGTGGTCAATAATTACCTACTGGCCAATGAGTTCAAGAATAAAGAAAAGGAAGAAGAGAGGGAGGACAACGAAGGAGAAGCCTGCGTGCTGGTATGTGAAGAAGGCCAGACTTCTGGAGAGGCCTACAACGATGAAGAGGACGATGGGATGACAGACATTGAAGAAGAAAT